GCAGTTGAAGTAAAGAGCTTCACTTCAAGTACCTGGATCCAAGCACTTCGGACTGTTCACACTGCAGAGTTATCGGATTTTGATATTTTTTTCATTGCTATCTTTCCCTCCTATGGAATCCTGGGATCTGTAGTGTGGTAAGTTGAAAGGCAGGTAAATAAATATATATGAAAAACAACAACAACAACAGTAAGGTAGTTTAATTTTCTGTTAGAGAGCTCTGGTGCCACAGGTCATAGGAATGCACTTGGGGAGATCTCTGAGGTCCAAAACACACTGCAGAAGTAATCCAGTGTGAGACCGCTTTAACTGCCCTTGCTCAATGCTAAGGAATTCTGGGAACTGTAATATTGTGAGACATTTAGCCTTCTTTGTCAGAGAGCTCTGGTGCCGTAATAAACTACAATTCCCAGGATTCCCTAACACTGAGCCAGGGCAGTTAAAGTGGTCTCAAACTCGGTTATTTCTGCAGTGTGTTAAGAGTGTTAAGTGCCTCATGAAACTATAAATCCCAGAATTTAATAGGACAGAGTAATAACAACTGCAGAGTATCATTGACCTGTAACAGTGTTGTGTGGCAGAGTATGTTTTCTTCTGGTACTTGCACAGTATGCAGTTCAGCGAAGAGAAATTAAAACACAATAATCATATCCAAAAAACAGGACTAGAGGGGGAAAAAGGTTTTTTTCAAAACATTTATTTGGTTTACACTTTGTTTTTTTTTTTAAACCAGTTCCCCCCCGGCCCCCAATTAATGTGTAAGACTACACAAGTATAGGACTAAACCAGAAAATTGTAGCAAAATCCTGTTCAGATGTTATGACTACTAGCTTAAATAATAATTGTTGTTTTAAAAAGTGCTCTTTTAGAGCAAGTTGTTTGGGCTGAACTTCTGTTAACGGAAGGATTTGTTTCTGAAATGCATTTTTTCTTGCACTATAAAATATGGAGATAACATGCGGGGTATTGGTCTAACTATAAGAACAACTGCTAATAAACTTAAAGTTAAAGTGTTTAAATTCAAACAGCCATTGTTGTTCTGGTGAAAAGATTGGAAAATTGTAAGAATAGCAAGATTTAAAAACAAAACAAAACAAATAATTTTTAAAAAGGCAAGTTTTATTTTTTTTTTAAAAAGTCATTCAGTTAAACATTGGCTACATCCGCACTGCAGAAATAATCTGGTTTGACACTAATTGACATGGCTCAATGTTATGGGATTCTGGGATTGTAGTTTGTTGTGGCACTAGAATTCTCTGAGAGATAATGTTCAATAGCTTACAAAACTACAAATCCCACAACAACAACAACAACAATTTATGTCCCACTTTCCCCCCAAAATTAGGATTCAAAGAGGCTTCAGTTTAAAAGCAAATTACAATTAAAAGCACACAAAAGTGACCATAAAATAGAATTAAAATATTACAATATTAAAACTGATCACTTGTTTGAAAAAAATAAATAGAATACAATTTAAAAAGATAAAAGCAGTGAAAAACCATATACACCTGGATGCAGCCTTAGAATTATTATTTATTTATTGTTGCTATTTAATTGTTGTTGTTGAAGTGCTGCAATATAGCTATTAAGGTATACTTCTTTGTGGCGTCACAAAGAAATGTCAGACTGCATTAATTCTGAGAGCAGATGCTGCCTTAGAATTATTATTATTAATTATTTGTTATTATTTATTCATTTATTTTTATTATTTATTGTTATTGTTGAAGTGCTTGGCTAAAAAATAAAAGTGTTCTCTAGGCTGCAACATAGCTATTAAAATATATTTCTTTGTGGCATCAGAAAGCATTGTCATACTACTTTAATTCTGCAGTGTGGATGAAGCCTTACAAATAATAATAATAATTTATCATTATTATTTAGTGTTATTAATTTATTATTATTTATTGTTATTATTTATTTTTGTTATTGTTATTGCCTAAAAAATAAAAGTTTTCTCTAGGCTGCAACATAGCCATTAAGGTATATTTCTGCGTGGTACCACAAAGCATTGTCAAACTGCATTAATTCTGCAGTGCGGATGCAGCCGCAGAAATTAATAATAATAATAATAATTTTAATGTTAATATTAACAATAATTAATAATTAATAAAAGTATCAATTAAATCAAAACTAATAAAATATTTATTATTATACATTAATTATATATTTTATAATATTTATTATTTTATATTTTATAAAATATTTTATCTTGTATATATTTTGTTTTATACAATATAATATATAAAATATTAAAAATTATTATAAAATATACAATTATAAAATATATAATTAATATAAAATAATAATTTATTAATTTTATTTATTAATAATTTTATTTGTTAATAACTATTAAAATTAAATAAAATTATAATTAAACTTATAAACTTATAATTAAATTTAAAGCAGGCAGTTAACAGCAACAAATTTTATTTTATAATAATAATAATAATAAACATTATATTGTATTTATTTTATAATAGAAATAAAATAATTAATAAAATAATTAATAGTTATTTGTATGTATTATTATTTATTGTTGTTATTTATTAGGGTCGTTATTGGTGTTGTTGAAGTGTTTGGCTAAAAAAAATTAAAGATTTTTCTGGGCAGCAACGTAACGCTTCAGGCCTATGTCTTTGTGGCACCACAAACGGGCCCTGCCTTTCTATGGGCCTTTACAGACTGCCAGCTTGAGTCCACTTTCACGGTCCTGGCTTAGTGCTAGGAGATCATGGGAATTGTAGTTTTTTTCTGAGACATTGAGCCTTCTCTGTCAGAAAGCTCTGGTGCCACAATAAACTACAGTTCCCATGATACCCTAGCACTGAGCCAGTATTATTTCTGGCAGTCTGTAAAGGCCCTTAGTCCCTCACTCACTCCCTCTCTCTCTCTCAGCGGTGCCTGAGGGGAGGCGGAGTCAGGGCTGCAGTTGGGCCGCGGCCGGCGAGGGAGGAGGCGGGGCGGGAAATTTGAACTCTAACGGCAGCGGCAGCGGCTGGCGCGAGGAAGGCAGGAGCTGCCCAAGGGCGCGAGGATGAGGCGTTGCCGGTGGAGCAGCTCCGGAGGCAGGGAGCCCGCCCAGGAACCTTCGGTGAGCGAGGGCCACGAGCGGGAAAGGGCGGCCCTGGGAAGAGCGCCCATTCTGCTGCCTTTTCTGTGGGGCGCTTTGTCTCCTTCCCTCCAGTTCCTCCTCCTTAAATCTTAATCTCTCCCGGGGAAGAGTCACTTAAGGGTTGCATTTGTTGTTATGAGCCTTCAAAGTCATTTAAAAAAAAACAACAAAACTTATGGCGACCCTAACGCAAACCTATCATGGGGTTTTCTTGGCAAGGTTTGTTCAGAGGAGACTTTGCCATTGTCTTCCCCTGAGGCTGAGAGAGTGTGACTTGCCCAGGTTTTACGAAAAGAGAGAGATAGAGAGAATATGTTTATAGACTATACACACACAATATGTCTTTTTAGGTTATGACTTTCCTAAGTTTTACAATATATATATATAT